TTCCAGCCATCATTTTCCCATGGCATTCAGGGTCAGCTCGAGGGAAACTGATTCCATAATTAGGGTAATCACTGGGACAATAGCACTGAAGTACCAGAGCAGACTTTAGGTCTTCTTTGAGGAGAAAGAGCTTGATTTGACGCAGGAAAAAATTCTTCCCAGGTTAGTCATCACATTGCTCTATGCCTGATGGGCTGCAGACAGCCTGACTTTTCCCTCATTCCCCAAATGTGCACACTGAATTGAAAAGGGTCAAGAGGATTACCAAAGACCCCAGAACATAGGAAGCTGTGGATTTCATAGGGGGAATGGTGGCCCCTGCAATTCAAAGTTCTCTACTTCCTCTAGAACCAGGAAGACCCATGCTTCACTTCTCACTGTCTCCTAAGTAAACCATTTGACCCTTTGGGCCCAGTTTCCTCATTTTTTTTTTTTTTTTTTGAGTGTCACTCTTGTTGCCCAGGCTGGTGTGCAATGGTGTAATCTTGACTCACCGCAACCTCTGCCTCCTGGGTTCAAGCAATTCTCCCGCCTCAGCCTCCTGAGTAGCTGGGATTATAGGCATACACCACCACACCTGGCTGATTTTGTATTTTTTTTTTTTTTTATTAGAGATGGGGTTTCTCCATGTTGGTCAGGCTGGTCTCGAACTCCTGACCTCAGGTGATCCACCCGCCTCGGCCTCCCAAAGTGCTGGGATAACAGGTGTGAGCCATGGCGCCTGGCCAGTTTCCTCATTTATAAATGGAGACCAACAGCCCTTCCTTAACAATCTTTAGATTTTCATGAAAATCTTCTATAGCTGGCTCATTCTCATCTATCTGGGTCTTCCTGTTCCAACAGCCTTCCCTGGTGAGCTTTTCTACACTGGCCTCCAGCTTCTCCCAGCCCCAGTCCCTTACTTTCACTTTATCCAGTTTTATTGTTTCACAGCATTTGTCACTGTCCAAGATTAACTGGTATTTTGAGTGTGTCTCCCTCACTAGTGTGTCGCTGTAGGAGAGCAGGGGCCCTGGCTCCTGAAGGCCACGGCAGCTCCGGCTCCTGTTGGTCTTGTTCACTGCCGCATCCCTGATGCCCAGCTCAGAGCCCAGCACAAGGAGCTCAAGTAATTTGTTGAATGAATAAAGATCAAATGAAGTAATATGTGCAAAAGAGCTTTCTAAGTTACAAAGTATGAGGCAGATACAAGCCAAACCATGCCACACTTTAGATTTATGGGCCGTAACTTAAATATATCTATACAGCCCATCTGGTTTTTGGTGTTTTATTATCATTATTGTTGTTATTACTCTACCAAGAGAATAAAATAGTCTGCTTGTCAAATCTGGACCACACTTTATGTGGGGGTCAATTAGGAAAGAGTTCCCCCTAAATGGTACAGCTACTGAGTTTCTCATACACAATTAAGGCAAGTTTAGCCAGAACTTTAAGGCACTCCCAGTAACCTGAAGGCCATATATCCCACAACTCCAGGACTGATAATCTAGATCAAAAGACCCTTAAATGCTCCTATTATCTACATATAGGCTTTTTTTTTTTTTTTTTTTTTTGAGATGTAGTCTCTTTCTGTTGCCCAGGCTGGAGTACAGTGGTGCCATCTCGGCTCACTGCAACCTCCACCTCCGAGTTCAAGCAATTCTCTTGGGTCAACGCCCTCCCCAACCACCACCACCACCAGTAGCTGGGACTACAGGCATGTGCCACCATGCCAGGCTAATTTTTGTGTTTTTAGTAGAGACGGGGTTTCTCCATGTTGGCCAGGCTGGTCTCAAACTCCTGACCTCAGGTGCCCACCTCAGCCTCCCAAAGTGCTGGAATTACAGGTGTGAGCCACTGTGCCCAGCTAAATGTAGGCTATATTTTGAAACCATGTTTCTTGTATAATCCATTTAGGGGACTACAGTTGGTTCACCTAGATTCCTCCTAACATCTAGGTGAGGGTTAGCAAAGCCATTTAGAATTTGCCCTCCACCCATGCTTTTTTTTTTTTTTAAATGGATTGTGAGAGAGATGTTGTAGGAGTTTTCCAGATCACTTTCTTGTTTTGTAGGGCAAGAGCTGAAAGCATGTTTTGAGGAATCATGACAGCTCCGGAATTTGTCGGTGCCTTTGCTTCCAAAGCAGAAGACTGATGGATTTCTTGAACTGTGCTGGAGGGCCATTTTCTGGCACACTGTATATTTACCACCTCACTCCACTAAACAGTTCCCCAAGGCCCCTCCACTGCTGAACGGAGAGAGGCAGTCGGAGACATTTTGAAAAAGTTTTAAAATAAAATAGAAGGATAAATATGCTTAAAGCTATTCTATTCCACATGGGTGGCAATAACCACCAGCTGTCACCAGGAAACAGCAGATGTAATTGATAAAACAATTCAAAACTCTTATGGATCCATCATCAATAAAGTTAACACCCAAAAAGTAAATGAAAGGGTTCAAAGTAGAACTGGATAAGCTCCCCAGGCCTGCCAATAATTAAATCACTGAACTACATACGAGCATAATTTCTTTATGCAGATTAAAGAGGAGGATCAGCCGGGCAACTTGCTTTGCTGGGTGAGAATGGAGCACCATATGTTGCTTATGAAACTGTCATTAACTAAGGTAGCACTGGTGTGTGGGAGAGGCGGGGACAAAGGGGGCAGGTAGAGGATAGACCATCATTATTTGGAAGGAAATTGAGTACATAACGTTTATCCATAATATGGAAAGGATGAAATTTCTACCCTGATGCAGCAGGGAATGGATGATATTATTCATTACCACAGTTTAGCATTAAATGTGCAACACCTACTCTAATTTATTGATGGGCTGTTTAAGACGGGTGTTAACCTGTTTGTCTTGTATTATAATTGAATTCAGTCTCTAGGCTACAGAAATTTGAGAAGTTCATCCTTTCTCAATCAATATGCTCCCCTTCAGTGACCCATTTCAAGGCAGCTTCATAAAAATAATGTATTTTGTTTTAATAAATTTAAACACTATGACAGCTGCTCAATTTTTATTGGTTGTTTTTTTTCCCTTCTGATGTCTCTTTGCTGCCGAGTGAAGCCAAGCTCACAATCAATAGTAATTGATTAATCAGCATCCCCTTTGAACAAAAGTGCTAATCAGTTTTTGATTAGTTCATCAAACCAGATGCAAAAGGCAGCCCAGCCCAGCCTGATAGTTCATCAGTGTTCTACATGACTTATGGCTCCTGAGCAATATATGACTGCAGTGTTCCTGAAGGGAGTGGGGGAGGGGGACAACATAATTATTAATTTAACTGAATTATTATGAACACAAACAGTTGTTGGTTTATTGCTTCTGACTCGGGTGATTGATAGAACTGCAGCAGGGACCCATCTGACATGGCGCAGTGCTGAGGCCCAGAGTATTCCTAACTGATGATGCTGGTGGAAGGGGTGGATGGCTGATTCAGTCACATTTTCCTAAAGAGGAGAAAAATGACTTTTGCATATCTGAGTGATCCTTGTCTGGCTTCTGTCCCAAGAGGGATCAGGGCCAACACACCCACCAGCTTTCTTAGAATCTTTGAGAAGATCCAACTGCCAGGGCTACTGTGTCAAAGAGAGTTGTTTTTTTTATGGTCAGAACTGAGACTGTCTATCACCAGAAATACAAGCAGAAATTGCTTACTTCCAGCATCCCATTTTAAGCAGGGAGAAGGACTTATCCACCCTTATTTTAAAAGAAAACTAGGCAAATGTTTTTGGAACTTCTCTACACCACAAAGAAGAGACAAAAAAGAAACACTGTCTTGATGGGCCCACTATCTTTCGAATCTATTTATTTACCTAAATGCATTGGGATTTAGAAATTCATTCATTCATACAGTTAAGTGTCAATTGGGTGCTTAGTACATGACAGGCATACAGCAGTGAACAAGACCAGCATGGCCTCCTGGAGCTTCCAGTCTTTAGAAAAATAAATCCAACAGCTAAACTCAAACTACATGCTACATAACAGCAAAGTGAAGATATCCCTGAGGTATATCAGAAGCACATAGTTGGCAATAAATCTACTGCATTTTGAAAAATTGGCTAGTACTATCTTATTCTCTCAATGGGTAAGACTTATAATTAAGGACTGTACCTCAACAACCAACTATTAAAGGGAGCTTCAGTAAAAGCTCCTTGGGAATCTTTCTTTCCAATAGGCTTCAGTAAGTGTCTACAGTCCTATGACTTAATTTCTCCACTGCAATAACAAGGAAAGGGCCTTGCTGACTGACTTATTAAGTGACGGATGGAAATGTTTAAGCTACAGCTGGTTGGCAGTGAAGTCCCATAACATCATGGATGCTCATATAATTGTTTAGCTCTGACCACTTTAAATCTCCTCCCTCCCTCCCTTGTAGGATATGCTTCTTATTCTGGATTAGTAACACCTAAATCCTGGAATCAAGCATGAAACCTACTTTTGCAAGAGCTCAGTGTGCTGTGAAAGAGGTCTGAGGTGGATAATTAGTTTACATCATGGTGTGTGACAAAACAGTCACTCCCCCCACCTCCCTGCCCTTTCCCACTCCTGACTTCTAAGATAACTACAACATGGCTTTTCTAGTCTCCTCCACAGAAGAAGGCAGTCAATAAGAGTTGTTTGTTTCTTTAAAAACAGATCTTGTCACATAATCCAACATCCTTAAATTGCTTTGTAATGCAACAAAATTTCTCCAGACACATTATATATCTAGGACATAAACATTATTTGAAGCCACTGAACAGAGTGGCTTTAGTACAATCCCAAAGGTAACTTGACCTCTCCTGCATTAATTGAATTGTCCCCAATCTGAAATATAAATATTACTACCACAGAGAAAAGAGGTGGGTAGTGGACTGGGAAGGAAGACAGTATTGATAAAAATTTGTTTTTTGTTAGTCTCAAAATCCACACTTACTGATTGCTCAGCAAACCAAATGGCCATTTTGTAGAAGTGGATAGAGCACCCACAGGTTGGACACTGCAGTGCCTTACCTAATGACTAGCCCTTACCTGAGAGGTCCTCACTGTCCAGTTCTTCTGCGGAATTGGGCAACTGAGTAAGGCCTTACAAGTAAAAACAAATCGTTTTTCTTTTCATTCCTCGAGGGACATAAACAAAACACTTAAGAACTGAGGATGAATTTCTTTAAAAACATGAGCCAAATCTCTTGCTATCTACGTTTTTGATAGCATGAATGTATTAATCCATAAGTACATTTCTTCAATTATGTAATTTTGTTATTACAACACAATCGAGGCAGAAAGATTCCTCAGTCTCCACTGTTCAAAGGACATGAAACATGAAGGTGAATGCTTAAAATCACTCATTCATAACAGCATGCAAAAAGAAAAAAGAAATCAATAAAGCCTGATTGTTAGCTGTCGATGTTCTGCTATCTCTTAAATACAAATGTATTTGGATGTTACATACTGATGTATGTACGTTTTATTTCGCATTTTACTGTAAATTGAAATCCGCTGCCAATACTGACAAACACAGTTCATTATCAATTTATGATGATCTTGGATCACATATTTCAAAATGGTACAGCATCTGCTAACTGCAGATTGCAGGTTATGCCTTCATCAGAAAATCTGATTCGCAAAATGATTTTTTTAAAAAAGAGAATTTCATAAATCAATGGTATTCCTGAAAAAACCCTCAAAGCTGAAAAAGCAGTTAGGTCAGGAGGTAATCAAATGGAGGCTTGAAATGCCTATATCCGAGTCAATTCCAATGCTGGCCAGCTGAGATGCTCCTCAGCTAGCTCTGATTTGAATTTAAAGAGGTGAAGAGGGAAGTAGATAAACAATGGGAGCCTCAGATAGGAGACGGTTTCCACTTCCTTTTGCTTTATTTGTGAGCTGACCCTTTAATGAAGTTTATTTAATAACACAAAATGTTCGACATTCAAGGCGGCTTTACTTGTTCTTTGCTGTGCTGCTCAAAGTCCAGCGTGACTGACTGCCTAGGTCCTTTAAGTTGCACCGCAGTTTGCTCACACTTCTCTAGTCAAATCTGTCACTTTTGAAGATGTCTGTGGACCTAATAAACTGCAAGGTCTTTGGAGAAGCAAGTTGTGTTTATTTTTGCATCTTTCCCTTCTGCTACAGCCAATCCACAAAGTATATTCTCAGTGAGTATTTGTTGAATTAATAATTTGGGAATAATGCCCAATCAGAGCATTAAAAGCAACCAAAACAAATGCTTTGGAAACAAGTAATGTCAAACTGATCACTATTTTTAAAGACCCAAATGAATCCAAACAGTCATGTGCAAATGACCACTGAAGCTTGCATTTTGTAAGTTGCTTTATAAAGAAGCCAAATGAACATTGATAGCCAGATCAATTCTGTGAAAGGAGGCTGACGCGCCATCAGCCCTTGAGGAAGAAGACCTTCCATCGTGATCCTTGGGTGCTACCACTCAACAGGAGGTGCTGACTAAAAACGGGAAGACTTTGAGCCCACAGGTATTCTCAAACTATAGATTTAGGCAACTGAAGGGAAAGCAGTGAGCAATGCAATCAGTTATGGAGGCAACTGAATAGGGATGTTATCCATTTGCTCTGAAATCTGATTGGTTGGCAGTATTCCTATTTCTAATTGGCTTATACATTGTATAAAGACTGATGAATACAATTATTTAAATAACTGTTATAAATGGGCAACATAGAGTACTTCTCTGTAGTTAATTATAAATTTGCAGTTCTCAGAAGGCTAATCTCTCACTTCTACCTGGCCCAACAAATATCAAAGCGTCCTACATACGTGCTTGGTGCCCACTGAACCACATTAAACAAGGATGTTTCAAGTAGGTAGCTTTACTGCTGAAGGCTTATTCCTTGGGGAGGACATTAGAAAGCTAATTAAAAAAAAGACAAATATGTTTATGAAATATCATTGATATGCAAAGTTTTCCATTAAAAAGCAACAGACAGTTGATATACACCTCATTAAAGCTGAAACTGTCATTTTTAATGGCATAAACTTTAAAATATACCAAGTTATCTGGACTCTACTGCTCGGATTATGTTCTAAAGCGGGAAGCCATTTAGGCTAGTGGCGTTAAATTTGTTTCTGTAGCACTATTATATTGTATGAATCTACAATACTCTGCCATAGTTGGATAATTTCTGAATAAATATAATTAAGAAGAGTTTACTGAAGCACGGGGTATACAAGAGGGGACAAGAAAAATGTACCTCCTGAAACTGATTTGGCTTAGGTATTTTTCTTTCATGTTAAAAATTATACACTTTTCATTTTCTCAAAGAAAAAGACAAAGACGTATTTTATGAAGCAGAGAACATTCTTCAAAAGGAGACTTCACTCTTTAACAATAAGTGGGAAATTACTTCTTGTGTTTTCTCTTGAAACTTTCATATCATCCATTAAAGCCTCTTTCTAGTCACTTCTAATTAAAATATATTCAACATATGTCTTTAAACTTTGTTAAATAAATGAAACTTTACTTTTTGTCCATAAGGGATTATTTTTGAGCAATTAATAAAGTCCTAAGGATGCAAACATGGTAATTTAATATATGCATGATAGCCATCTCTTCTGCAGAGATGTGTATTTCACTTTTTCAAGGTGCTACAATTGCTATAGCATACCCTAAGCCCTCTCAGGTAATGCTTTTGCAGTTGTGATCCTTCCTTTTCAGCAGTAATTGCTGGCTTCTAAAAGTGATACGATGTGGCAATTTTAAACCAGGGTAAGGAAAACATCAAGAAATTAGAAACAATACGAAATTCTAGAGATACTTAAATAAATTCAAGGTCAAATACAATTTAAATGCTCATGGGCTCAGTTTTTCAGGGTATCATTTTTTTCCCAGAAAATTTTAAAATAGAATGATCAAATAAAATCTCCAGGAAACAAAAACTTAGCCCACTGGCCCTGGTATCATTCCCATTATAAAAAACAAAGTAGGCGATGGTCTCTCTCTTACCTAAGCAGCATACATCTGATCACTTGGCCATATTATGGAAACTGTTACTTCCACCACCAGCCATGAGTTCAGACGCCCCCGGTAGTTTTAATCTAAAAACTCAGTCATCCTGTTCTTCCTGCTTTGTCAGCTTTTGTAGAGAGTTTTCCCTTCTTCCCATTAGCAGAAATTTGGTTCACGCCGTTAGACAGTAGCACATTGTTTCCAAACTGCATATCAAGGCTGAAACACAATCTTCAGGTCCTGCAGCCATTCGTAAACCTCTTGAGCTTTGCTCTCATGTAGAACATACAATGTCTGCAGAGTCCCGTGACTGAATGACAGCCTTTGAATGCCATTGTTATGTGCTCATACAGAGAGATGTACATAGAGGCACATACACAGATGGTGGACATAGCGGTTGTAGTAATGCGCACTGCTGGCTATGTTTCTTTAAAATGGGCTTAAGAATTTCCCCATAAGTGAATATCAAGTATAATAAGAAAATCTTATGTGCTTTTAGAATTTGACCATGGTTTGCATTTTTATAAACGAGTTGGGAAAAGAAAGAGCTATGGGGGCATCTCCTAAGGGCTGTGCTCGTAAGGTACGAACATGTAGCTAGCACAGGCCAAACATTCTGAAACCAAAACTGAAAATGAAAAACTACTCTTCAGAGGAGTTTCCAGTTTGAGTCTTACCACAATTACATACTGAATTAAGAACGATTTAAAAACTCACTGGGGATATGAAAATTCATGAGATCGTCAGCCTCTACTGTATTAAGAGGTGAAAAGGCAAGAGGACAGGTAGACTTGAAAATAATAAAATGGGGAGGGGCGAGAAGGGACAGAGAGAGAGAGAGGGAGAGACCTCAAACCCGAAGGAAGCCAGCTGACTGCAGTGCAGCAAAAGCACAAGCACTATTCCAGACCATGGGCATGCTGTTACCCGACCCCTCATATGGGGGGGGAGGGTGGGGAAAGGGAGAAGGGACACACAGGGCAGAAGGAACAAGGCACAAGACACAGAAGCACCCACATATGAACAAAAGCCATCACACGCACCCACACATCAATAACATAATGACTACACCATCCGTGCGTTAAATCACTCATGCATTTCTCAGACCATGTGGTATCAGGATTTGGCAGAGTGTTTTTTGCATTGCTCAACATGCACACATAACACAGGATTCTTCCTGTCTAGCCCTTAAGGATGAGCTCCAAAAACACAAATGCTCAAGATCCTCATTCAAAAAAGATCCCTTGTGTCAGCCTAGTCTAAAAATCGCACCCTTACACTCACATTTATCTTTACTATCAATTAAATCCTTAAAAACACATTGTAGCTAATTGTCATTTGGCTTTCTTTTTGGAGAAAATCCATTTGATTTTGAATCATGCCCATGCACTTCTAACCTTTCAATACATGCTTATTCCAATCAGATATTGTTAAGAACAAATGGTCAACATACATAAACAACTGGTATAAACTTCATACATACTCTAGCAACACAAGCTTGAATAAAATCTTTTAATGAGTCTTCAAAGGGAAAGCTTTAAAAATTACTTTTTCTTTTCGTTTTATGAAAAAAAAAAAAAAAAAAAAAACAAACAAAAAAAAAACAAACCCAGAAATATCGAAGGATATCCAGTATGAAAACTTTTAAGACCAAATAAGATGGCCATAGCTAATTGATCTAATGTCTTGTCATTTAAGTTGCTAAGTTACCAAACCATTCAACATTTCTAAACCCAGATTGTCATAACAAACATCTCAAGATTATTTTCGAATGAACCTAAGTCAAGTGGTTGCTGTAATGAAGAAGTTGGATTTTCAGTTACAATTCACTAGAGTAAAATCAGTTCTGTATCATCATCTTTCTGGAAATCTCAGATGTTGCTTTGTAATTTCTACCATGTTCTATTACCTTTTCTATCCTGACAACTGACCTGGAAGTTTTTCCCTCAGATCAAGTAAAATTTTAGATATTATCTGGCTTTCATTACAGCTTCTTTGCTGTGGGTTAAAGAACATGCTGTTTAAAATAGTGGCTGGAGCCCTTTGTGAAGATGCCATGAGGACTTTGGACAAGGTGAAGAATATTTATAAGTGCATTATACAGGGATCAGCCTGCATTATCTATCACTTTTCTATCCCCCTGCAGTTAAGAAGTCAAATTTAAATTATATATATATATGATACAATGAATCCCTTGGCTGTAGGTATATTCTTCATGCACTGCTAGTCAATGACATCCTGCTGAGGTATCACTAACTTGAACATCGTCCCCAAAATAATAGGAAGGCAGTTGCTTCTCACAGTACACAAACATCTCTATTACCTACCATAGAAATGCTATAAAGTCTCATTCCAAGTGCCTCTTTCTTATACCACAAAAAGAGATCACCTTTCCTTTCTCTCTCTCCAGAGAAAGACCTGATTAAAACTAGTACTCCAAAATCAGGACTGGCTATAAGTTAACTTCTTATTTTTCAGATTACGGGACAAGTTTCCTACTTTGAATGGCCTACTCAACTCTAAGACCTACATCCCCTAGAGTCAGGTAAAAACATGAATTTTATTGAAGGGATCTAGAAAATAGAACTCCAGAGCTTTAGGAGATGAATGATCAGTATCTTCAAGGATCTCACATAATTTAGGAATTTTATGATTACATTATATCAGGGTGTCCAATCTTTTGACTTCCCTGGACCACAATGGAAGAAGAATTGTCTTGGGCCACACATTAAATACATTAGTGATAGCTGATGAACAACAACAACAACAAAAAAAAAATCGCTAAACAATCTCATACTGTTTTAAGAAAGTTCATGAGTTTGCGTTGGGCCGCATTCAACATCGTCCTGGGCCGCATGCGGCCCATGGGCTGTGGGTTGGAAGAGCTTGCATTTTGCCTTGTAGTTAATTATAGGAAGCTCAAAACTTAAAGTATCTTTAAAAGAATAGAATAAAATCTCTCTAACTACATTAAAATAACCCTTCGAGAATAATCGATAAAGTCAGGAGGTGCTCAATTAATGATGAAAACTACAAATAACTGAGCTTAATGGAGTGCAATGCCTGAGATGTGGCAAGCGCTATAGGGCATTACCTTAGAAAGTGGAAGTTTTATACCTAATTGATTTCTCATGACTGTCAGCGTACCTGGCTCCTTTTGGTTATTTTATGAACTTTTCCCTTTGTACCAATGATAAGAAAGGGCAGAAAGAAATAGGAATGGAGAGAGAAAGGAAGTATTGCTTAGTTCCTAAATTTGTTTTGCTTTCTCAGAATTCGTCACAGGAAGTCAAAAGATGGGGTGACCTGCCAAGCATCAAGGCCTGACCTTCAAAGACAGCTCCTACAGAGCTTAGAGATTTTCCAACTGGTGAGTTATCAAATGCAGGTCTCTAAGTCAGTCAGGCTGTGCCAGGAAATGTTTCTCTAAAAGTTGAATTAACATGGCAGGGTTGGCTGATCTCCTCTTGTCATTTAAATGACAGATTTCCACCCTGTACAACAACATGCAGAGTGATTAAAGTAGGCCCTTTACCAAATAATTCCCTTGGATTCAATTATTAAAATTCAGCCCAGTTTTAAACTAACATATCTTTTCTAAGCACAATCTTGTCAGGGCTAGATTTGAGCTAAGTAATAAAGTAATATACAGAAGAAACATGATTCTCATTTTCTGATTGGAGAGACATAGAAAAGTTAATAGACTTATTCCAATCCAGTAAGTCATTGGTGAGATGGGGAAAAAGAGATCTTATTTCCTGATACCCCTCCTGAGTTTTACTCACTCCGTTTTTATTGCTTTGTGGTTAAAAACGTGTTACTATTTTACCTGCAAGACACACACACACCAATAACTTTTTAAAAGTCCCAGTTATGCTGTTATAATTGACATATGATATCATTCTTGGTTTGGAGGAGTTTTCTGCCAAATGAGAGCATAAAGTTATATGAACACATAGAGATTAAGAGTGAACCATCAAGGGATGGTGGGGTAAATATGATTAGCAACATACTTAAAGTCATGACCTTTCTAAAGAAGAGCAATGACTTTCTTTATCGTAAGCTCATGATTTTAAATAGGAATCTTCCTCCCTGGTCTACCCTTCCATCTCAACTTCACTGAGAGACACAAATGACACCTCTTCAAGATTTATCTGGGACTATGGCCTATATATAAATAAAGCAACTGGGCCTTTAATTCAGATATTAACAGTTTTCCCGCAAACACTCATTTTTTTGAAGCCCCATGTATTTCAAGGTTTGGTGGAGTTTTGTAAGTAAGGAGGACTCTGTGCAACTGACTGACACTCCTACAATTCCAGCCACCCAGTGAGGAGAAGGTCTCATCTCAGACTGCATCCATTGACTACCGAACTCACAACAGAAATGACAAGACTCAACATCTTTTCAAACTTTAAAAAATTATAGTATATTTTATGAGATCAGTCTACTCGAAACATGATTTCCCTTGAAGACTACATTTCTCTTTTTCCCAGGCTTGCCTTGCCTCTCAGCAGCGCTGAGAAAGTAGATAAACAGTAATGTGATACCAACCGTGAACTGCTGGTTCTGTCGTCGCCGTTGTGTCTACAGACGGGAACAGAGGATTGGAGGAAGGGAAGAAACAGGAGGAACGGCATGCAAAAAAAGGGAAAATGGAAAAAAATGGAACAGATAATATATGAGCAAGCTTTCAAAGAACATCGCGTGACAAGCAATAATAAATGAAAAGCAAAAAGCATTTGAAGTGAGTTGCACTGTTTTAAGACATGCCTTGAGCTCAAAGCTGCGAGCCAGTGAGGAAAACAGTAAATTCTTTGGTTCTGGGGGTCTTGCCAGGACACATATATTTGCTGGTCAATAGTCAGGTGGACATGCAAAGTGATGAGAAACACCAGTGCAAACTCAGTGGCTGGTAGATGGCTCTTAACGCATCAAGGCTCAGGACTACGACAGAAAAGCTCAGTCAAAAGGCTGGTTAAACAATGGATTCATACATTCAAACATTGCCTTTGTTTTAACCCAACCCACCCGGGCACTTGGGCTTCTTGACTGCCAGTTAGGCATCATTGAATCAATCGCACTTTTAGGATCCTTTTACTGCTTATGCTCAGATGCCTGTAGATGAATAGACAGGTTTAAGTTTTTCATCCAGTGTATTATTTCAGCACAGTTTAGCTGAAAAGTTCGATTTACTGGGAGGCCATGGCAATGAACATATCCAAGGTTTTCACAGATTAGTTTCTACACACACACACACACACACACACACACACACACACACACACACACATCCATTCTTCACTTTAAAGCTCTTAATGTTAAAATTCAAGAGCAGAAGCCTTTCATGAAAACACTCAAGTTCACACAATCTGCCAAATGCCACTTCTAATCATATGACATTCCAAAAATTTAAGTATCCAGCCATCCTTTTGCTCACAATTCAGAACCACGTTCACTGTTCTGAGCTGACAGGAGTCCTGATTTCATGGCTGGATTAGGAGAGAGTGCAGTTTTTTTTGTTTTTTTTTTCATTGCTAGATGAACTTGCTGTGGAAGGAAATGTGTTTTGTCTCTTTCTTCTTCTATTTCTGATGCTGTTCAAGTTTTCTCCTTCTTCTACCAAGCTTCTAAACCAGGCTTGCTGTACTTGCTCCTGTTTACAAGAAATTCCTCCAAGGAACTCAAGGAATTTTCTCTTTATTTTTGGCTTCAGGGGAAGTGACATAAATATCTAACAAAATGCAGGGTGACATTCTTTTTCCAGAGTCATTTTGTCACCACTCTTCTAGTCAACTTCATTCCAGTGTCAACCCATCTGGCTATACTTCCATTTTGATTTCAAAACTTCCCAGGCACGTTCCTTCTACCACTCATTGCTGGCCAGAAAGGAATGGTGATACTGAGACAGGAGCTAGTCATCTCTAGTCAAACGCTGGTGGCTGAAGTGGAATTCTGGGTTAAACTGCAAGCAAGTAGTTCACTGTCCTTTTGTAGAATGCAGCGGTTTGGCTTGTAATTGCTTTCATGTGCTCTGGAGACTCCAAAAGACTTTCTGACTCGACACAGGCAATGTTTAAATGCACTGGAACTTCAAATTAAGCTTTTTTTTTTTTTTTTTTTTTTTTTTTGGAAAATGAGCCTGGTGCTTCTGATTTATAAATATGACACATGAATTCACACCGGCATTCCCCTTCAGTTGGCATGCTTTCCTCAGGATTCTATACCATCAAAAATTAGATCCCTTCTAAGGAGCCAGAATTAACCAGAAGTCTGAAAGGCCAATGCAGCTTAATATTACTGATAACTTAGTTTCTGAAGAATAGATGAAGGAAAGAGAAACATACAATAAACTGCATAAGAACAAAATACATACTTACTTACAAGTCTTTGTGCATAAAATAGCAGTAAAAAACAATACAGAAAACTGTACAGTTGAAACACACTCTGCTCCAGATTCTCCAGATTCTCCTGACACAGATGGCACATTTCCTTTGTTGAAACATCCAAGTCCAGCATAGGTACTTTACATTTGAGGGGCAGAATCAAATGCCCATTTGTACAGAAACATTTATATGCATGTTAATATATTTTATAGATAGGCATTGGCTCCTTTCCAGAATTTTTAAAAAAGCAATAAACACTGTGGCTTATTATTTTTGTAGTGGCTCTTCTAATATGCTTTCTTTTCTTTTCTTTTTTTTTTTTTTTTTTTTTTTTTTGACACAGAGTTTCACTCTTGCTGCCCAGGCTGGAGTGCAATGGCGAGATCTTGGCTCACTGCAACCTCTACCTCCTGCCTTCAAGAGATTCACCTGCCTCACCATCCTGAGTAGCTGGGATTATAGGTATGTGCCACCACATCCAGCTAATTTTGTATTTTTAGTAGAGACAGGGTTTCTCCATATTGATCAGGCTGGTCTCGAACTCCTGACCTCAGGTGATCTGCCTGCCTTGGCCTCCCAAAGTGCTGGGATTATAGGCATGGGCCACTGCCCCCGGCAGACGCTTTATTTTTACAGGTAAATAATTAAGTAAAAATGAAAGAATCAGGGGGGTGGAGTAAAATCTAAGGGTTCAAGTCCTCAAAAATAATATCTGAGCATTAACCAATGACCCCAAATTTACTGTCTTCCTACAGCGCAACACCATATCAGCTTTAAGATGAAATTAAACCAAGTAAAGCTAGGTGTCTGCTCCTAGGTGGTTACAAGAAAATAAATGAAGGAAAATCCACAGTGCATCTTGCTTCCCCATTCTGTGGATGGGAAATCCATCAATTGTACCCAAAAGGCGAGAAAAGGAGGATGTTGAGAAGTAAAAACACATTCTAAAACGGTTAAAAGCAAACACATGTTCAAGTCAAACAACACCATTACTGCAGCTGGAAATGGCAAAACCATGATCAGCAATGGGGTAGGAGACCGCAGCAGAAACAGAGGCTGGCTACAAAGCTCAGAACAAGATTGACGGTGTAACTGGGGAGTCACTGACTCCATTTCTCTAGGAGCATCTAGTATGCTACTTGAACAGAGGTTATTTTCAAGTAAAGAATCAAGAAAAAATTCTTTAGAAGTAACTTTGTGCTCCTTGCAGGAGAGCACTATGACAGAATCTAATTCTCCTCCATAATTGCATTATGACTTCATGCAGAAACCACAGACACCCTGGCTCTGAAGTGAGTGCAACTCGTGAAGCAGGATTTATTAGGGTATCTTAATCAGAAAACCAGAGAAATGTGCAAACACACCTTGTGAATCAACTTGTGCAGTCACCATATTGCTGGGTAATATTCTAAGTATAGAGGCAAAATGCAAATATTAAAATTTCAGTATAAGTGATAACTGCTGTAATCAGCTTGAAAAATGAGAATGTCCTAATTGCCCCAACAAAGCCTTTTTAAAACCTCATCTTGTTGCTGTCTTAAAAAAAAATCTTTGAGCTAGCCTATGAGAAAAACAGGTCACAAAAAATTGGGCTGAACTTAGGATGGTGTTGGGTTATACAGAAATTTAAAAGGCCTAGCTAAGCTACTGTCTCTTAATTTTAATTACAAAGGGAGCAAATGTATTATACATGTATTTTATATGGCCAAGAAAAAACAATCCCATATTCTTGAAAACCCACTAAGTATGAGTACAGTCAAACAAGGTACCCATAGAAGGGTCCAGCATTATTATTTGAAAGATGCACACTCCACTCAATATAGACTCCTCTTCTTAGTCTCCCAATCCTATAGTTTATCAGACCCTATCTTCAATAAATGAAACATCACATACATTTATTGTTGCAGTCTATTTACAAAATAATAAAAAAAAAACTCTGACAATGTGTGAAATTAGAGACACTAGCCATTTAACTAAATAGCAAAAAAAAAAAAAAAAAGGAATTATTGCAGGAGAGGCAGCTGGGCAATATTTAGTTGAAACAGTCATGTGTAAGCTCCACTGTGGCACATTCTAATCCTTTCATATGGATTCTCTCCAACTTAGAATTGTTCATTGAGTGTGACAGACTGGGGGTTTAAAACTAATCCATAAATTGGTCCATGGTCTCAAACACAACGGGTGCCATAAATGAAAATGAAAATCCTAGAACAAAATTAAATTCACAACCTTAAATATTTTTTCCCCTGATTGATCTGTGGTGCTTCTGCTTTACAACGCACAGATTGCAAGCCTGCATTTTGGGGTGTGTTTGAGTAAGGTGTACATTAAAAAAGCGCACAGCATGATAACCCACAATCTACTCGAAACCAGAGCTTAATTGTAAAAAATTTAAATTCTCTCATTTTTTGATTGTCATAAGCCTAAATGAAAGCATACTAAGCAGTTAGACATATTTTAATACACTTTCTCCCAGTTTATTTTCTTAACTAAAGTCAATAAGAAGCCAATGGTTTTCTTAATTGAATTCCCCTTCAGTTTGTGTTATGGAGGTGCTTTAAATCTAGACACTAGAGCAGGCAAGGAATTCCCCTGACAATGTTATTTTCATAGTTGTGCGTGCTGGCCAATATATATTAAATATAGGATTTTTTTTCTCTCTTTCTTTTTTTTTTTTTTTTCAAGTTATTTGAACCTGATTGAAAACAAAAATAACTGCTGGAAAATTAAACTCTGGAATTTGTTTTTTCCTGGTTTCCTGATTAATTTTCTTTCTATCTATGTTATGTTTTAATCAAACTCCCCTGTCTTACAGATGGGAGAAGTAGAAAGGAACAGGACAAAAACTAAAAGGCCCAAATAGGAGAGCCAGGATAAAGCTCTCTTGCTTGTTAAAGTCACCTCCCCTGTGAGTGAAGAGATTGTGTGCCACAGAACAGCAGGAATGGGGCTTGGTTTTTTTTCCAGATACGTAATTTCAAGTTTTGTTAAAAGCTTCTTCAGAATTGTTCACTAGTGCTGTTGTGCCCCTGAGATCTTTTCATTTGCAAACCAGATGTTCTTCAAAATAACAGGAATCTGTATAGTAGTTTCATTTTACAAGAAAAACAATACCTATAACATGTTGTATGTGGATGCTCAGTGGAACGGGGTACAGATAAGAGGAAAGCACAGGGGAAGGAAGGAAATGAAGAGGGTGTT